CACCAAGAGCCCTGTCTAAAGCGATAAGGTTTTCAGAGCCCCGCCCCCCACCCACCGTGCTGAAATTTGACTGGCTTCAACTTGTGCCAGTCTTGTGCAGACAACCACAGCTGCCCTTCGTTTGTTTTGAGGCGGGATCTCACTGGCTTGGAATTCACCTAGGCTCCCTGGCCAGCAAGCCAGCCCTCCCCACCCCCCCACCCCCACCCCCAGATCGACCCATCTTTGCTTCCCCAGCACTTGGATTATAAGCATGGTCCGATACACTCACGATTTTTAGGTGGATTCTGGGGATCAAACTTAAGTCTTCATGCGTGTCCAGCAAGCACTACCAATGAGCTATCTTTCGGGCCCAAGAATTATTTTGAGATAGGGTCTTGCTGTGAAGCAGAGGCAGGCTGGACAAAATTCAGGATCCCCCTGCCTCGACCTCCCAAGTGATGGGATCATAGGCATGGTTTCCCATTCCTGGCCAAGAAATACATATATTTCAGTATTTCACATATTCATATTTCGGATGAGTAATGTTACTGTCTTTTTTTCTCGTTTTTATTAGTACTTTGAGAATTTTGTATAATGCACTTCAATCATAATTACCTCCTCCCTAATTCCTTACAGATCCTTTCTTACCCACCCTAACATCCCTTTCAATTTGGGGGTGGGAGAATCTGAAAACTACATGACTTATAAAGTATTTCCTCTTTGACCCTTAATGTCAATCACCTTGTGAACTTCTTGGGAGGGAAGGCGCATTTCTCCAAATGACTACCACGTTTATCTACACCCACCCAACTGACCCTTATATTTAAACAGTATATCAGAAAAGGTTAGAAAAAAAAAAACAAGAGTATTACAAAGTGCAATCTACTTGCTTATAATTATGTTTTATGTCCTATTTGTTTGGAGGGGGCACTGCGTGCCTCCGTGTTCATGTGGTGGGACATCAGAGGACAGCAGCCTGGAGTCGGTGCTCTCGTTCAGGGATCGAACTCAGGTCACCAGGTTTGGTAGCAAGTGCCCTCACCTACGGATCCATCTCGCCAGCCCTGGGAACTGTGAAGCCCTCCTTCCACTCAATACGTTATACTTTGTGTAAAGGCAGAGGACAAATGAGCAAGGAAGATCACCTTGAGAATAGCTCAAGATGGCTGCAAGGATAAATAGTGCATCTGGGGTAGATGAAGTTCTCCAAGGAGCTAATTTTGTACGGCTTGTTCCCCTGCGTGAGTGGTTGGGGAGACGTCCTGCCTCCCATTGGACGCACCTGTAAGAGCAAACCTTGAAGACAGTTAACTTGGCGGGGGCGGGTTTGGGGTGTGATATACTAAATGCTTACCAATCGGTGCTATGTGGAAGAGGATGTTGAGCCTGCCCCAGCCAACGGGAAGGGAGGATGCCTTCGGCTTGGGCACCCAGAGCCTATAAAGGATTGGGGAGGAGCCAAGAAAGGTTTGTTCTGTCTGCTGTGGGGAAGATGTGTTTTGTGAGAAGGAGCCTAGAAGTCTGATCCATTTCAGGGGTGAGTGTTCAAATCTTTCTCATTGTCTCAACTTTTTTGTTCTACTGACAGGGAGTTTACCCACCCCTGTTGAAAATACAAAACATAGCCCTGAGAGCTAGCCCTGAACTGGAGAGTTCTCGCCAATAAAATGCTTACTGACCTCCCCATATATCCCAGTTTCTGACATCATGTCCTAAATTCCAGTTCTGAGAGCCTGGGCACCAAGAGACTGGCCAAAGCTGGCAAACCCCTAAAGACCCAGAAGAGGCCGTCTTCTCTCATGCTCAGAGGTCCAGGTTAACCACTGGCACATGTGTTAAAAAAAAAATCAAACAGCTCGGGAGGCAGAGGCAGGCGGATCTCTGTGAGTTCGAGGCCAGCCTGGTCTGCAAAGCGAGTTCCAGGAAAGGCGCAAAGCTACACAGAGAAACCCTGTCTCGAAAAACAAAAAAAAAAAACAAAAAAAACAAAAAAAAAAAGAAAAGAAAAGAAAAAAGAAAAATCAGACAGGCCAGGAATGAGGCAAAGAGCAGGAAGCAGAGGCTTGAGAACGGCTAGCTTTCATACCACCTCCCTACACCTATTCCTCCTTAGTGAAGGAAAGCATTAGTTCCCCTCTGAGGCTCAGCCTTTAGGCATTAGCCAGGCTTCAGCTGCTGCTCCTAACCACTCAGCTGAAAGTCAAAACCGTTCTGAATGCTATGTGAAAGAAATCTGACTCAGAAACACAAATAACCACATTTTCTATCATATGCAGAATCTAGACAGATAGATAATATATGATGGGCTGTTCATATAATGAATAGAAAGACAGCTAGATATGGATGATATACATAGATAATAAAAGGTAATAGTTGATAAATAGATCTAGATAGATGGTAGATAAATAATAAATGATAGAAATAGAGATGACAGATATACAGGATTAGTAAATAGAGAAGTAGGTAGGTAGATATATAGCTAATGGGTAGGTAATAAGTAGATAAATAAATGATAGATTGATGATAAGTAAATAAATGACGGGTAAGTAGGCACTATGTAGATAAATAAATATGATTGATTGATGGTAGGTAGGTAATAGATGATATATATACTCAATAGATGGTTGATAGATGAATGCTAGATGAAGATGTCAGACAATAGATTATAGAAAATTGGTAGATAAATAACAGTTGGGTTGATATAAGTGATAGAGATAGATGATAGGTGCACAGATGATAGATCATGGATGATAGGTGATGGATAAATAGATATGGGATGGATAAACAGGTGGGGAGATAGACAGATGACAGAGGTACACATAGCTGTAGACGTCATGACAGGAGAAGGAAGGGGGACTGTTACAGAGGAGGATGTAACAGGAGAAGGTAATGGGAACATAAAAACTCCACAGAGAGCACACATTTCCTCTCCCGTGTGGACTAAAGACATATATGAAACCAGGCAATGGTGGTACATGCCTATAATCGCAGCACTGTGGATACTGGGGCAGGAGGATTGCTGTGAGTTCAAGGCCATCCAGAGCTTTATGGAAAGAGCCTCAAGGGGAGAAAAAATACGTATATGGTGTTAAAGTAGAAAGATTCTTGGAGGGGAGAAAACTGAGCAGTTGGAAAACCGATGGAGGACATGTTATATGCTGTTTTGTTTGTGTTCTGACAAATAAAGCTTGCCTGGAGCTCAGAGGGCGGAGCTAGCCACGAGTTAACCATAGAGGCCAGGCCGGGATGGCACACACCTTTAATCCCAGCACTTGGGAGGAGGAAGCAGGAAGATTAGGAGTTCAAGGCTCGCATGGGCTAACAAGATTAGACCAGTCTAAAAGAGAAACAGTGCTAGGCCATGGGGGCTCACACCTTTGATCCCAGCACGAGGGAGACGGGAATATAAGGCAGATGGAGACGGGATCTCAGCCCCAGTCAGTCTGAGGATTCCTAGAGACAGGACCCACCCCATTTGGTCTGAGATTTCATAGAGGTAAGAAGTCTCTAAGTGGCTTACCTCTGCTTCTCTGACCTCCAGGCAAGCTTTGTCAGAACACGAACAAAATGTCATACAATGCCTTGCCTTGGAGGAGGTGGGAAATGGGGAGGGGGAATTAGGGGAGAAGGCTGTGGGGGAGGGAGGAGGGAGGAGGGGGGTCTGTGGTTGGTATGTAAAATGAATAGAAAATGTCTTACTAATAAAAAAAAAGAAGGGAAAAAAAAGAAGCAGAAAAACATGTCCCACCCAGCCAGTTCCAAAGTAACTTTTAGTTCAGATTTTAAAATATGCAGATCCTTGTTTCTGTTCTCAGGGTTGGTAATAAATAAAAAAAAAAGAGCCCATGCAAATAGTTAAAAGGAGGAAGAAAAATAAAACAAAGTTTAAAAAAAAATCATACCACAGGGACAAGAGCAGATGATTGGCTGGATAGTAGCTAAGAACAATGATATACAGATATGCAAAGGTCATAAACTCATTATTTTGTCTGCTAAATAAAAATTAATGTTAAAAAATTTAAAACCTTCCTATGTGCAAACAGAAGGGAGATTATTTGGGAAGAACAGAGATGAGACATGATAATAAAAGGCCTGAAAAGATCAATGTATGTGAGACACGCATCTGAAAAGTCACAATGAAGTTTATATTGATTTTATACAATGAGTATATATTGACAAAAAGTAAATAAGAATAAAAGTGTTTGCTGGGAAAAAAAAAGTTAATGGTATTCATTGTACAATTAAGAATAAAGGATGAAGACCTGGAGAGGATGGCTCAGTCGTTAAGAGTGCCGGCAGCCCTTGCAAGGATGTGGGTTCAGTTCCCGGCACCCACATGGTGGCTCACGACTACCTGTAACTCCAGTTCCAGGGGCTCTCCTCTGGCCTTCTTGGGCATTTCACATGCCTGGTACACATACATGCAGATGAAGACATAAAACAAAAATAAATATTTTAAAAAAAATAATAAAGGATCGAGATTTAGAGTGTAGCTAGCTCAAGAGAGGGCTTGTCTAGTGTGCACACGGCCTTGGGTTCCACCTGCAGCGTGAGAAACAAAGTGAAGCTTTAAAAGAATTCTGGTGGGGGCTGGAGAGATGGCTCAGAGGTTAAGAGCACTGGCTGCTCTTCCAGAGGACCTGAGTTCAATTCCCAGCAACACATGGTGGCTCACAACCATCTGTAATGAGATCTGGTGCCCTCTTCTGGTCATACATGCAGTATACATAATAAATCTTCTTTTTAAAAAAAAGTAGAATTCTTGTGGTTGAACTTTAGGGTGGTCAGGATGCTACCGCTGATCATGTCCTGTCTCCACAGGTCCTATATGTTCTCAACTGTTCGGTTTGTATCTGTCACTAATAGAGAGGTGTCATTTGCCTTGCCTAAGGATGAGTGTGGGGAGTCAAAGATCCCCCCTAACCCTTGATGATGTCCCTTCCACATCTTCCAATCTTTCTTCAGTCAGAGGTTGGACAAACCCTCAGTCCCTTGCCTCCCCATGTGATAATTGGGTCATGGTGTACATGAGTTATTTAGAAAAGAAGGAGCTACAGATCTTCAAGAAGATGCTGATGCATGAGCAGTTCCTGCCGGACACTCTCGGCATCACCTGGGAGCAGCTGGACAGAGCCAGCTGGGCAGAGACGGTTCATCTCTTAATAGAAGTTTTTCCTGGAGGACTAGCTTGGCGTGTGGTTCTTGAAATCTTGAACACAATGAACAAGAGAAGAATTTGTTCCCTGGTCGAGAAGGAGCTAAAGGGTAAGTAGTAATACAGTATGCAAGATGGGGGCGGGGGATAAAGAACTGAATAGTGACCACCGTGTGACCTACTGTCCACCTGCAAAAGGAAACGAAGAGTGGGGTAACACAATGGATTGACCCTCCAGGCAAAACCTGTTTTGCTGCATTTGTAAATTTGCAAGACTTTTAATTTTCTTTTGTGTGTGTGTGCACATGTGTACATGGGGGTGCCCTCACAGGCCAGAAGAGGGTATCCAATCCTAGAGTTACAGGCAGCTGTGAGGAGCCAATGTGGGTGCTAGGAACTGAACCCGGGTCCTCTGCAAGATCAGTAAGTGCTCTGAACCATTGAACCATCTCTCTATCCCCTGTATTCCATCTTTTTAAAGGTTTTTTTTTTTTTAAGATTTATTTATTATGTATACAGTGTTCTGCCTGCAGGCCAGAAGAGGGCGCCAGATCTCATTACAGATGGTTGTGAGCCACCATGTGGGTGCTGGGAATTGAACTCAGGACCTCTGGAAGAGCAGCCAGTGCTCTTAACCTCTGAGCCATCTCTCCAGCGCCTCCTCCCCCATCTTTTTAAAATTTTAACCAGATACTAATTGTAAAAGATAGTCTGTGATTAAAAACACAGAAAACTTAGGGTATAGTTCCATTGGTAGAGTGCTTGCCTAGCATGCACAATCTCTAGGACCACATATACCAGATGTGGTGGTGCACATCTGTAATCCCAGCAGTGGGGCACATCTGTAATCTCAGCACTAGGGAGGTAGAGACAAGGAGATGAGAAGTTTAATGTATTCATTGGCTACATAGTAAGTTTTGGGTCATGGATACATACACGAGACCCTATCTCAAAAGACAAGGATTCTGGGTCATTCATAAACCTGATCAGAAGAACAAGCTGACCTACAGTTCCTAGCTGAGCTCAAGCAAGGCAATGCATTAAGCCCCTGTCCTGTGCACAAATGTCATCTCCAGTCCAGGCTATATCACATCTTTGTGCTTTAGTTGATTTTATTGTTCAAAATATAGTCCTAAATAATCATCCAAGGAGACTGCTCTCCTATGAAGAAACTTTTGTGTTAAAGTGTCAGTCAGTCACAACATGTAACACTGTTGTCTGTGAGTCCAATGTTAATGAATCAACAAAATCTAAATATATAATATATCAAATGGAATATATTTGATAGAACATATTTAAACAATGTATTATGCAAATATATTCATATAATATGCTGAATAAGATACCTCTATGATCTATGTAAGATATATGTAAAACAATGTTGTATCTTAATCAGTTGATGAAAATACAGTAACCAGAAACTCACAAGAATCTAACTTTCTAAGCTCAGTGTGGTGGCATGCATCTTTAATCCCAATACCTGGGAATCAGAGGTAGGTGGCTCTCTGTGAGGTTGGGGCCAGCCTGGTCTATGTAGCAAGTTCCAGGACAGCCAGGGCTATATTGAGACCCTGTCTAAAAAAAAAAAAAAAAAAACCAAGAAATAAATCTAACTCTAAATTCTCATGTGAACCATGGTATTGGCTAACATAGTGTTTACAGTGATTCTATAGAACATAGCAACTGTGAGTAGCAAAAACCAATGACTGTAAACATGTGTACACATTACATATGTAAACATACACAGTGTATGCACCATACATGCATATACATAGATATGTGCATGTGTGGCACATGTATGAATGTATGCATGTGTTTTTGGTTATTTTATTACACTTTTTATTGTATGTGGGGGTGGGGGTGAATACATGCCATCACATACATGGGGTAGTCAAAGGACAACCCTCAGGGGTCAGCACTCTGCTCTCATCATGTAGGCACCTTTACCCACAAGCCCTCTCACTGGCCAGAGTATGTATATTCATACTGGGTTAGGTTGACCATCCTAACCCAACAACCTGTATGAGAATCTTGAGAATATGAAACATTTGGGCCACCAACATGATGTCACAAGTGGAAAATTCCACTTCTGAACTCATGTGATAGGTTGTAGATAAAATATAGGCACACTGAAAAAATTATATAAAACTATCTTCTAGGCTGGGAAGTGGTTCAGGAGACACTAAAAATATTGTATAAAACTAGCTTCAGGGCTGGGCAGTAGTTGTGGGAGTGGTAAATGCACTTGCAGTGTGAGACTGACAATTTGAGTTTGACCTCTAGAACTCACGTTTTTATAAAAGCTGAATTTCAGATTTACGAAATCTGAAATCCCAGTGTTTTTACAGTAATTTGGGAGACAGAGATGGGAGAATTAGCCAATAACTTCTGAGCCAACTAGCCTGGAACATACATCACGGATACAGAGATACAGAGAGAGACCCTGCCGCAAAAATCACACAGAGGAGTGTTGCATGAATCCTAATTGGTCTTATTAATAAAAACCCAGAGTCAGATATCAGGGTGAAAGCTGAAAGGTCAGAGAAGGAGAGCAGCCAGCCACTAGTTCTTGCCTCTATGAAATCCTCAGCCAAAAGAGACTCTGAGCTCCTGTCTCCTCCCACCTTATAGTCCTCTCTCCGCCCAGCCATATCACTTCCCGTCTCCACCTCCCTAGTGCTGGGATTAAAGGTGTGTGTGCCACCACTGCCTGGCCTCTATGGCTAAACAGTGGCTGGCTTTGCCCTCTGATCTTCAGGCAAGCTTTATTTGTTAGATCATACACAAAATATCGCCACAGAAGAGAGAACCCTGAGTCTCAAGAGGTTTTCCTCTGACTTCCACATTTGTGCTGTGACTCTTGCCCTTCTCTCTCTCTCTCTCTCTCTCTCTCTCTCTCTCTCTCTCTCTCTCTCTCTCTCTCTCTCTCTCTCTCTCTCATTTTTTAAAACTACCTTTAGATTGTATAAAAGGTGCTTATGAAATATAAATGAATGAAAAGGCAGCTAGTTGGACTTCCAGACAGAGAACAAGTCCCTGGCAGAGTAGAGAAACCCCTTGGGTGAGGCTTCCAAGCAAAAGAAAAAAAATAACAATAGGTAGAGATTAATGTCATCGAATCGGGAGTCTACAACATCCAGCAGAAAACTGCTGGAGAAGTTGAGGCGGTTAGCCAGAGTTCATTATGGTACTTTTTCTCCATGAGTTTCCCATGGCAGAATTCCAGGCTTCTATTTCCCACTGTAGACACTTCTATATTTTGGGATAAACAATAAACCTCTGTTGGAGATGATTCACCTTCCAGCTCTTCTCAAGGACGTGGTGTTTGTATTCTTGAGCTGTTTTATTATCTCCTGTCATGGAGCTAGAGTAAAAAGTCCTTCCCCCCCCCCAGAAAAAATAAGGGTCCTGGAGAGCACCTGACATATATATGCTTAGGTCTGAAGTGTAGAGATGGGGACCCCACTCTGAGACTCAGTTTCTCAGTCACCTTAAATCATACCTGACAATTTATATTGCCCATTAGACCAGTATAATGCCCATTAGACCCTGTTGTGGAAGTTCATTCTGATGGGATAGTCATTTTTTCCATCTATTGCAGACATTCTTCCTACCTTGGAACCGACGTGCTTCCATCTAAATCTAAGAAAAACACCACTGAGTCTGACGAGCGAAGACTGTGGTATGTGCTGGTAGCTGTGCCGGTCTAGTAAAAATGGGGTATGGGTTGAAGCAAGCTTGGTTGCCTCATCAATGTAGACTGTACATAAAGGTGGGTGGCGTCTCTTCTACTCATCAAAATGCAGGCAAAAATAGTGTTTGTGGATTCATGTGACCACAGGAAGCCCAACCCCAACCCGCCTGGATACAGGAGATCTAAAAACATCATCAAAGATGCTTTTCCGCTTCTCTTATGGGCCAGCCTTTTCTAGAACCTGGCTTTGAGCAGTCTCTCCCGTGCAGAGTAGCCAACTTTAGCCCCAGCTAATTTAAAGAGCACCAGCTTGAGAGTATGTTTTCCAGCAAAGCGCCTCGAATTGAGTCCAATGAACGACAAAGGTCATATTAGCTGATAAAAAAAAAAATGCAATAGTTAAGAAAAAAGTGCGTAGTTATTCCTATCAAAATGCACGGATGCTTGAGACGCAGTATTTGCACTTAACTTACACACATCCCTCCCTCCCTCTTCAAATCGTCAGCAAATTGTTTCTTTTCTCGTGGCTAGAGAATTGCATGCACGCACGCACGCTCGCACGCACGCACGCAGTAGGTTTAGATCAAATCTACTTCCATTCACTCTCCTCCAGTCCTCCCAAAAAACCCATGTCACTTTTCTCTCCTAACCTCATGTGCTCCGTTTTTTTTTTTTTTGTTTTTTTTTGTTTTTGTTTTTTTTTGTTTTTTTTTGTTTTTTTTTTTTTTTTGCAAAGAAGAAAGCCAAGAGGTCAGAGCTAAGAGCTAAAACCTTACCCTTCCTCCTGCGGTGGTCCTACCTCTCCGAACCAGAGCTACCCCTGTGTTAAAGTCTTTATATAGAGTTCCTGTTCTGCCTTCTCATTGGTTGTAAACCCAACCACATGACCGCCTCCTCACAGCCTGTCTGTATAGGCCTCCAGGTTTTCCATGATTGGTATTAAGATTAAAGGCATGTGTATCCAATAATGGCTGTATCCCTGAACACACAGAGACTTACCCAGCTCTGCCTACCAAGTGCTGGAATTACAAGCGTACGCTACCACTGCCCTGCTTTCCTATGGCTTGCTAATAGCTCTGACCCCCGGGCAACTTTATTTATTAACATACAAATAACATTTTAATACAAATAAAATATCACCATATTTCCCCTTTTCTATTTTAATAAAAAGGAAAAAAAAGAAAAAGCTTATAACTAATATAAGAAAAACTACATACAAAAGGACAATAACTATATACAATATATACAAGTAATAAATACCTAAACAATGTCTAGTCCATTTGTATTTGACAAATTCAGAGAAAATAATTTCATTATCTATCCTATTTTGGTAAGTCCAAAATGTATCCTAATTAATCTTCAACTATAACTAACTAACCTTCAACTATAACTAACTAATCTTCAACTCCCTCAGAG